GCCGCTTTCCCTGGAGTGGGGCAAGCCTCATTGCCTGTGTGTGGCCCCGTTCTCATGGCCCTGTGGCTTGTATTGGTCTTAAGAGCATGGCTTGCCCTCAGTGGTCTCCTCTCAGGCCTGCCTTGAGTTTCCTTTAAACAGTAAGTGCCCCCCCCCCCCCAACCCCAAGCTCCAGAGCCTTGCAGACTTGGGAGGTCTGTAAAGGTAAAAAATAATTCTAGGCCCTAACCCTAACCCTAACCCTGAAGAATGCACACTCCATTCTTGGAGGAACGGGATCCAGCAGGAACCACCAATCCATGCCTCTGCCGAGCACAATTCTCTAAACCTTTTAAAATCTGCACCCACAGTTAGGCAGCAGGTCGCTGTCGCGTTGGGAAGCTTGCTTCTCCTTCCTCTTGCAAACAAACCACGAAGGCGTGCAGCCCGTGGTAGAGAAACACAACTCGAACTTTTCAGCACTAACTGTCCTGGTGAGGTGGCGATGGCAGCCAACTGGGTGTCCACTGGCTGTGTTGTGGGTTTACATCGAAGCAGTAAACACTGTCTCCCTCCGAGATGCCCTTAAGTGACCCCAGATGCTTAACAAAACCACCGAACTCGTGGAAAACCTCCGATGGGAGTGAGCCTTGGTGCTGGGCTAAAGCTCAGTTCTGGTGCAGGGTGGCAGCAGGCTTAATCGCGGCTGATCTCCCAGCGGTTTGACTGTGATGGGAACGGTTGGGCTTTGGCATCTTGCAGGGCACTACAGGGGGGTTGGTGTCCGGCTGCCGGGATTCAGGTGGTTTCAACTCTGGACGGAAGCCCTGGCACCTGCGTCTACAACCGGCAGAGCCCCTCGGATGTGGAGATTGCAGTTTTGTCTTTGTTTTGCTTTTCTGTGGAGGTTCGAGCTTGCCGGGGAGGAGTGGGGTGTCACTCCTAAGCACTTACTGGAAGTCTCTGGGGAGCAGCAACCTGCTTGATGGCTTTGTAAGAGAATGTGGTGACCCTAAGCCCCCTCCCTCCTGCCCTCCAGCTAGGCATGGGTGAGCTGGGACCTGGTTCTGGGTGGCTCATGTCCCTGGAGGGAGGCATGCACCCCAGACCCTGGCCTGGCAGAGGTTCTGTTCAGTGGCTCAGCAGGGCTGCTTCCTTAGGGCAAAGGCCACCAGAGCAGAGACCCCCCTCCTCTCAGTGGCATCTCTGGGTCCTTGGAAGCACATGTAAATCCCTCACCGGGCCCCACCAGGGATATAAAGAGACGACAGTTTGATAACTCTATATTTAGCACCAGTTAGGCAAGCTGGAAAAACACAAGGCTGAATTTCCTGAACGAAATGGAGCCGAGCCTGCACGTGGTTAGATGGGTCCATGTTGACCTGGGTCCCAGCATCCTCTGCTGCTGCTGGGGTCTCTGGCACCCAGGCCATGAGGCACTCCCCACCCCCGCAGCGTCACAGAGGGCCTGGCTCCTTGGTGCCCCCACCACCCCCCCGTGGGTAGCAGTCATGCCGAAGAGGGTAGTGGGTGTGCTTCTTTCAGCCTTGCAAGCACTTAAACATATGGAGCCCCGCTTGGTAAGAGTCAGCACAAATCCCCCAGCATATCGGCTCGGGGTGGCGGGGGAGGGGGCAGCATTCAAGCCACCCTGTGTGCACACTGTGGCTTTGCAAATTGGCAGCGAGGTTCTAGCCCAGCCAGGGAAGATGGACGGGCCAGGCTTCTGTGACCCATTGTCTTCTGGGTCTATTAAGCCAGGAGTGGGTGGCGGGCTCTGACAGAGAGGCTGTGTGAACGGCCCAGCCCCTGGGTCTGGGGGGACTTTGGTTTCTAGGAAGGGGCTCTCAGAGCCCCACCGGGACCCTGGCCTGGCATGTGACATATTTCTTTTTCATCACAACAGTTATTTGGGGGAGGGGGCCCTTGCCCGGTGTGTGGCTCTGCCCTTCAGAGAGGTGGCATTGGCAAGCGGCAGGGAGCAGTATGCTAATGTCCTGGCCTCCCCCCTGCGATACCTCGGAGGTTCCCAGAGTAAATCATGCCCCCCTCCCATGCAGCGACTGCGAGGAGTGGGCCCTGTGCTTGAGCTGCCGCGCTTCCTGGCGACAAGGCCCTTGGTTGGTGGTTGCCGTGCTCCAAGGGCGGAAGGGAGACCTCTGCTGCTGGCTGGGAGTCCAGGAGGGCGGTCTGTCTCTGACCAGTGAAGCGGTGCGTTGGGGGGGTGGGGGGGGCTCCTTTCTGGACTGCTCTGTGGGCTGAGTGGCTCTTTTCTCCCGTCTTCAGTCAGATGTGGGGTGGGTGTGGAGTGGGCACGGTTCCCAGGGCAGTTTGGGGGTACAGCAAATGCCTGTTGGGCCCATCATTTTAAATGGCTAAAGGTGGCACCCCCCAGCCCTTCATCGAAATCCGTGGGTGGGCTTGAGATCCAGGTGGAGCCTCAGGGCACTCCGACCAGCAGCCCCTGAGCAGATGGAGAAGGGGCCCTGGGAGGGAGTGACTTGTATGGGTATTAGGTCAGGACTTGAGATATTCTTGCCTCAGGGTGGGGGGGCTGCTGCAGTTCGGGACTGCAGTCCCAGGAAAGGGGAGCAAAGGCTAGCTCAAGGTCATGCTGGAGGTGCCTGGCTTCACCATGCCAATTCTCACCCTGGCTGGTGGGCACTCTGAGGGGCGCAGCTCAGAGGCTCAGAGATGTCGAAACACTTGCCTGAGGTCACACAGAGTCAGGATTCCAGCACAGGCTCCAGCTGGAGCCGTTCCCCTCCCAGGCTCCTCCCTACAACTCCTTCTGCTGGTGGGGGTGGGGGTGGGGTGCTTTCCCTTTCCCTTCTGCCTGTGCAGCAAATAAAGCCAGGCTGAGGTTTTCCGGAGCACAGATCAAACCGATGGCTGATGGGGCCCAGGCACTGGCACCCCTGAGTGTCCAGGCCCTCACAGACTTCACCTGCCAGCCTTCAGCAGCCCTCGTGGCTAGGGATTGCATCTGCCCGGTAGTACAGAGGAGGAGACTGAGGCCCAGGAGCACACGTCCTTTACACACTGGTGCTCACAGGCGGCTGGAATGGGGAGTGAGGTAAGGTCGTGTCCATCAGAATCCAGGCTTTCTAGCCCCTGTGCTCTCCTTGGTGGGCTGGGAGTTTTCGGTGGGGGGCGGGGGAGATATAGTGGATTTCAAGAATAATTTGGGCCTGGAGTTTTCGAGATGTGGCTGGAGTCGAGGGCTGGGTTGGGTGTTTAGTGAGGTTTTTGTTGTTGGGGATATCGTGTGCCCTGACAACAGCCTCCTCTGGTAGGATCCCTGGGCTGAGTTGTCAGGGAAAGCTTGGGGAGCCTGGGTGGATTGGGGAGCCCAGTGGGGGCTGTCTGTCCTCTGGGCTTCTCCTTTTGAACCCCAAACCCTCTCTCTGCCAGTGAGTTCATTCTGGGGTAGAACTGCTCCTGTGGGTTGCTGAGACGATTTGTGGGAGTAGACAGCTTCATCTTTGTCCCTTGAGAGTGGCGGGTAGGTTTGAACCACTGACCTTTTGGTTAGCAGTGCAGCACTTACCCACAGTGCCACCAGGGTGTCTATGAAGCTGGGCCCCGGGGACACAGGAAGGAAAGCAGAGCAAGCCCCTGCCTCACGTACCTGCCCTTCTCATCGAGCCACTGATTCAGACTTCATCGAAGGCCTGGTGGCAGCAGGCATCGTGAGAACACACGGGACCCTAAGTGTTGTCCATTGAATTCTCCTCCGGTGCCTGGTCTCCCATCTTCCCTCTCGGGGCAGTGTTCATTTAGAAAGGAATCCAGGGACTTTGGAGTGGACTTCTCGCCCCTTCTCCCGGCTCTGTAGTCGGGACAGTTGAACTCCGTCCTTGACACCTGACTCTGTAGTTGATCAATACCACCTCCTCCTGCTTCGGCCCCCAAATAGTTACATACAAAATCGATAGAGTCCAATTTGGCTTGCTGTGCTTTATGACGGAGGGTGAGGGTATGTCTGGAAGAGCAGAGTTATCTTGGGTTAACCCATTGTGGTGCCTAAGTCAGTCACCCAGAGCCCTGTTATTCAGTGCCCAGGAGGGGTG